CACACACACACACACACACTCGATGTAATGGGAAAGGGCAGACAGCTCCACCTATTTCTAAACATCTTGAGGCCAGACTGTCCCCTGCCAGCTCCCCCCCTTCACGCTGCAAAGTTCTTCTGTCTAATGTCACTCCCTCCTACTGTGGTTAAATTCTTCTTCTCTTGCTCTGGCTTTAAGAGGAGAATGGAAGGTGGGCTAGTCCGGACAGCCTTCCGAAGGAAGTCCCCACAGCACTGGCCCCTTCAGTGCCCTGTCTGCTCCACACACCCGCCCTGCTCACACCTCCTCACTTTCTCCCAGCCCTGGCTTACATTTGTTCTCGGTCCCATCCAGCTCCAACATCAGGTTGTCAAGCTTCTCCTGCTCCACCACCGACAGACCCTGTAGACAGAGTCACCATCACCCCAGGCCAGGATGGAGGCTGGGCCCGGAGGCAGAGGGCCCCACCCCATTCCCACATAGGCTCACAGCTGGCCAGGAGCCAACCAGGTGTCTGTGAAAGCAGCCTGTCTGGATTGGGAGCAGGGGTGGGGAAGGAGTCTCCCCACACTCTCCTCGAGAAGTATGATTCCCAAGAGGAATCTCCCTTCTCTCCCTCCTCCCCTCATCCAGGATTGCTTCCAGGACCCTGGTCCTGCCCACCACCGCCCCCAGCAAAGAGCAGGCCTCACTGAGCTGATGAGGGCTGGAGCAATGGTGGTGTTGATGTGGTCCACTGCCTTCAGGACACCTGGGGAGAGGCAGAGAGGCCAGACTGGGTCAGGCTGGGAAGGGCCAGAAGTGGGGCGCAGGCAAGAAGGGGGCTGTGGACTGGTGTGAGGTGGGAGTATAAAGCTGAGGGATGGGAGAGTCTGGAAAAGAGAAAAGGCCTCACCTTTGCCCAAGTAACGCTGTTTGTCCCCATCCCGCAGCTCCAGGGCCTCATAGATACCAGTGGAGGCTCCACTGGGCACTGCAGCCCGGAAGAGACCTGAGAGAGGGACACGAAATAAGGAGGGACAGAGAAGGACACTACAGGGACCAGGGATTCCTTCAGCTTTCTAGCTCTAACCTATCCCCACACTGCTAACATACACACACACACACACACACACACACACACACACACACACAAGCATAAGCAGGGGCCTCATCTGCCCAGTTGAGGTCCCACAAGCACAAGTAGGAACCCACAGATATGAAGCTATGCAGGCAGCACACATATGCACACACGCACACAGGTACACACACAGGCCTGCGGAGGCAGGATATATCCCATACATAAAATAGAACACAGAGATGAGCCTATCTGGGCTCCGCTGGATAAAAAAATCCAGCCCCCCACTGGTCAGACTGGGAGCTGGCCCAGCACCCCATCCCCACTGGGAATCAGGCAGCGCCTAGCCAGGAAAGCCCAGCCCTGAGGGGCTGTGGGAAGGCCAGCCTACCCACTTACCTTTGGCAGGTGCTTGAGATCACCTCCACCGTGGGGATTTTGGGAGTCCGGATCTCCAGCCCAGATCTTCTCTATCGACATGATGGCAGGTGTGGGTGTCGGGAAGGAGAAAGAAGGAGAAAGATAAGAGGTTTAGAGAGGTGGAGCCTGATCAGTGGGGCCAGGGGACACAGGAGCCATGGAAGGAGTTGCACACACGGTGGGTGAAGGGGGGTGGGGAGGAGCTGGCTGCAGTCCGGCTTTTAAGCCCCACCCCACGGGGAGAGAAGGTCAATGCAGTGAGGAAGGGAGGTCACTGCAGTGGGGGCGGGCCAGGATCAAACGGGTGAGGGAGGACACCAGTGAGGAGGAGGGCTTTGCTTGGGGGGGTTCCCTCGACCCCCCCCTCAGGCTGTGAAGCAGCAGTTCGTGGTGGGGTTCCCCCAGATCTCAGAAGTGTAATGGCTGCCAGACTTGCATTTCTCCTTGACAAAAGAGGATGGAGCTGTCTGAGGCCTCTCCTCAGAGCCCTCCCACTTAACCTAACACCCCCCAACCTCCAGATCCCAGTCTCTCTCTCTCACGCCGTCCCTCCTCTTCCCAAAGAGATGAACAGAAGTCTGGAGAGGGTCCTCTGGAGAAATACCACCTCAGACCCTGGGAGGTTGCAGCCGGGGCAGGAGGAAAAGAGATCTGGGGAAGGCAACGCTGGGCACATCCTTCCCCCACCCCACGCCAGCCCCTAGACAAATTCTCCCCTCCTCCCACTCCCTCCCCCTCCAGGCGGGCAGGCTGAAATGTAAGGAGAGGGGCAGTATGGGAGAGAGAGGAGGGAGGCAGGAAGTTCAGAAGTCTAGGGATGTGAAGAATGGGAAGAGAACTCAGATGCAAAACTAAAGGTGCCAGGATAACAGCCAGGGAGACCCCCAGACTTAGCAGCAAGCGGGAGGCGGAGAGGGCCGAGGGAAAGGGGGCAGGCAAAAGTGGAAAAGGCGCAGTTAGAAGCAGGTGCGGAGAGACCTGACAGATGAGGAGGGGGCAGCGACCACCACTAACTCAAGGAGCAGTCCTAGAGCCTGGGAGGAGGATTGCCTGGGGAGGTCTGAGATGTTGAGCAGGTGCGCAGCTTTCCTGAGACGAGGATGCGCGCAGGCCAGGGAAGGGCAGGGGGCGGCGCAGCGGCGGAGGGTGGGAGGGGTGCAGGGGGGCCTGGGGCTTCACCTCGCTGCAGACTCAGCCTGTGGCGATGGCAGTGGCAACGGCAGCGGCGCGGAGAAGAGAGCAGTGGGCAGCGGCGGCGGCTGCGGCTCCAGGCGGCGGGCAGGCGGGCAGGGGGGGAGAGCATGAGAGACGGGCGGACGGCCAGGAGCCTGATGAGTCAGGAGCCTCGGCAGGCACTTGTAAAGAATGCTGGGTGGGGGAGACCTGTCTATGGGGGGCCTATGGGGACAGGGCTGGGGAGGGCAGGGGAAGCCTTGCTCGGGGGGGGAAGACTAGGGGCATTGGGACCACAGCCTGCCTCCCACCCACGCTCTGCCCCCTCAGAGGTATGGCTGCAGCCTCACACAGTGAAGCCATGACAGACTTGGTGTCTCACAACCCTAGTCAGACACAAGAGTATCAAAATGTCTCTTTATTTGAAAACCGAACTGTTGTAACACACCCAGCCGCCTCACATCCTCTACCGAGGAAGGAGCATCCTTTCTGGGCCCATCCAGGCCTGATTTTCCCATACCTGCCCGAGGGCTGCCACACCCAAACACACACACACACACACACACACACACACACACACACACACACGTTCCAGGCAGGGCTCAGGCCCACCCGGACGCTGCCCAGGTGCCCACCCAGAGCCTGGACAGCAAGCTGTGATGAATTCCCAGGTGTGAGGCAAGAGAGGGCATGCTCTGTCTCAGGATGAGGGGGGTGAACGTGGAAGCCCCCCTAACTGGGAGTCTTCTCGGGTCTTAGGGCCAGTGTCTTTAATCTCCTGGAGGAAGAGGACAGAAGTAAAGCCGCTGGGCCTTTTACTGCATTCCCCGTGCTGCCTGTGACCCCATCACCGGTGCCCAGGGGCCACACCTCCCTGGGCTCACCTCCCCAGTCTCTTTCTGCCTCATTTTCCCTCTTTTCTTCCCAGAACCCCTGTTTCCTGTTATTTTTAGCTTCAGATTTTTAGCCCAAGATCTTCCTCCCCTGCCTCCCCCCAGCTTCCATCCTCAACCACCACCTCCACCCCTTCCCCCTACCCCTCACCACACCCCAGACCTATCCTTTCCAGCTGATCTCCACTGTGTGTCGCACGTGGCCACCAGCCCCCCACCAGCATCTCTGCCAGCCTCCCAGATTCTCTTTGGTTACTTTTCCTCCCCTAATGTATTCTCCTAAGCCTTTCCTCAGCTCCTCCCAAGCCCTCCTGGTCCTCTCTACTCACTCTGAGACACCCCTTGACTCCTAACTCTGGTCTTTCCAAGGGTTCTCCTGCCATGTCCCTGCCTCAGCCACCTCCTCCCATAGCAGCTTCTCTTCCCCTGGCTGCCAGACCCCTGGCCTCCTCTTCCTGCCTCTCTGTCTGCTTCCTTACTATTCTTGGAGGCTAAAAGAGCTGCTGCTACATGGAAGACTGCTCCAGTTTGAAGCTGTGCTCAGGCTCAGCCTCCTGCTCCTGGGTCTCCTTCATCCTCTGACGGATCTCATCAGCCTCAGCCCGCTCCTCCTCCTCGTAGAAATCTTTATCCAGGCGTTCGAGGTGTGCTATCTGCACCAGGGCCTCCTGGCGATAGTCACTCTCATCTGTACACGGGTTGTCCAACAGCACCAAGGCTCGCAGCTTGGGCAGGTCCCGAAGCTTGGCCAGCTCTCCCAGGTGGGTCACCATGTTGCCCCTGCCGGAGTGGTCAGGAGGGATTCACCTTGGGGCAGAATGCGCTTTGGGGGCCAGCTCCCAGGAATGGGGCCTCTGAGGGAATCTCCCACCGGGTTCCCTAGAACCTGCCTCTGCGGACTGGCGTGCTCAGCATTGCGAGCTTTGCAGCAGAGGGGCTGTCTGTCCAACCTGCTCCAGTCCTGCCTCTGCCCTTCCAGGAACCTGGGAGCACCATGGTCTGTTCTGTAATGCACCAGTCGTATTTGTCCTTTTGGAGCAGCAAAGCTAGGTCCCAGCCCTGTCTTGTAGTTGGGAGGGGAGGGGGGACATCTCCCTTGCAAAGCCAAACTTCTTCTGTTATCAATCCTACCTAGTCAAAGGTTAGCAAGTAGGAGGCAGGCCAGTGGACAAGGAGCTGGGCTTTAAGTTCACGGAGGTGAGTGGTGCAATGTGGGTGCTGCGTTCAGGAAGGAGCCTAGAGCTAGAGACGGTCTGGGGCCTCCTGGCCTGAAGAACAAGCTTCATCTCCTAATGTGCCTCATTAAACATAAAATATGTTTATTTTCATGTTCTTGTCTCATGCCTCTAGGAAATCAGGTTTAATTGTTTTTTCAGCCTTAACCTCAACGGAGGTGACTACACCTCACAGGGTGTTTCTCACTGGGAGCCCTACTCCCACTGCACTTCATGCTGGGCTGTCCTGTGCATTCCATTGCCCAGTCATTGAGCTACCTCTTCCCCACTACACTGAACTTCCAAACAACCCCAATTAACAGCCATTGAGGAGGGTCCATTATCTCAGGCTAGACCATTAAAGGAAAGGAGCCCACCGCCCACCCCCGCCGCCCCGCCACCCTGTAGCCCCAGCCCTGCCTGACCAATATGGCAGAACTAATTAGCAAGAGATTGTTCCAGAAGCCATGGCAGGAATTGGACCTTCAAGGTGCAATCACATCTCTTTACTTGGAGATTCTCTTTCCTTTGCCAGCTTTAAGAATTTGGCCATGTTGACTAAGGAGGCAGTGTCCTTACATCTTGCTTAAAGAAACACACATGAAATCCTCCATCAGACAAGGGCTGCTGAAAGAAAATCACCCCCTGATCCCTAGTGCCTTTCTATCTAGAGAATTTCTTTCAAATACTCTTCTCTCCTCAAATCTGAGCACATCTTGTGTTTTATATCGGTAAGGGAGCCATCCCTTATAGGTGGGGCTCAGGAGAAGAGAGGCAGGAAATGGGATGGGGAATAAGGGTCCCGGAGATGGGAGAAGGGCAGCAGAAATTTACATGGAATAGGACCAAGAAAAGAGAATTGGAGCCAGACTCTGAGTCCCTTGAGGACAGGGACCGTCTCTGATTCCTTTAAATGTTGCCAAAACACAGCACAAAGCCCTGGCATATAGCATGTTCTCAAGAACTGTGGATGGAGTGAATAAAGATTCGGGAGTCTCAGGCTATAAAGGTCTCAGTGTTGCAATTAGGACTGAATGCAGAAGACAGTAAGGAAAGGAGGGGTAAAGATCAGGATGAAGGTTGAGGTGAGAATCTGGGAGTGGACTAGGATTGGGACTTTGGGGCCAGGGAGGAATATGGGGTCAAAAGCTGCTCCTGGTCCAGGGTAGGGGCAAGGTGGGGCCTGGAGGGGGTACATACCTCAGGTTGAGATACTGTAACGATGTCATTTCCTTGGAGAAGCCACTCAGAGTCTCAATCTGGTTGTCTCGAAGATGCAAGGTAGTGAGATTGCTTAGGTTCTCCAAGCCCTCCACCTTCTTCAGCATGTTCTGGGCCTAGACCCCAGGATACAGTGCATACATTGGGAGAAAGTAGCAGGGACAGGGAAGAGAAGTCAGAGGCAACCTAAGAGTGGAGACAAAGGAGTGCAGGAGGGGAGTGGAGGTGGGTAGAGGTTGTGTAGAGAGTAAAGAAGACTAGGAGATGCTTCCAGTCCAGAGAAAGGTCAGCAGTAACCCCCTACTGCTCATCCCACCAAAGCCACCTCTTGATTAAGGAGAGATGCTTCAACCCACCCCCAGGCCCAAGAGTCCCCACGGCTCCACTGAGGAGAAATGCACTATCCTCGAATGAAGAAGCTCAAGAGTCAAAAACATGACATTTAAGTGGCTGCCTTAGCCTGGTATCTGTGCCTCAGTTAGAGCAAATTATGCTACTGCCTGTATCAAAGCAAATTGTCTTTATTCCTATGCATTATGTATTATCAGCCCTGCTAGGTGATAAGTACCTTGTCTGCTTTAACTTGGCGTCCCCAAAGCATCTGGCACCAACTAAGGGCTCAAGAAATGATACCAAATTATCACGATGATGATGAAGCTAGTAGCTGAGCCTCCTAGACACCAGGCATCCTGGCCCCCAGAACAGTGCCCACCTTCCTGCACCAACCACCCTCTAACCCAGTGAGCTACCAAGAAGAGGTTCTTCAGTTTAGGAAGGTTGATTCCCAGGGTGGTTTCTATCTGGTTCCCCCGAAGCTCCAAGGTGTGCAGGCTGATCAGCTTTTGGGGGTCCAGACCTGTCACCATGCGGATGCGGTTACCTGAGGAGCAGGAGGGTATTAGGAGCTCAGAGGGCCACTCCAGATATTCAGCAGGAGACCCTGAATGTTGGGAGCCTCTGCATCCTCCTGTCTGGTGGATATGAGGAGGGACAGCTCCAGAGTTAACACCCCGGGGCCCTGGGGCAAGTGGTATGGTAGTACAAGGGCCAAATGGACATGTTCACCCAAGCCTTTGAGGAGTGACTGAAGAATCCCCAGCAATCCCCATGGCTAACTCCTTCTCCTCCTTCAAATATTTGCTCAATATCAAGCTTCTCAATGATACTTGTCCTTACCAACCTGTTTGAAGTTGCACTTGTGCCTCTATTCATTCCCTTTACCCTAATTTACTTTTCAACAGCACATATTGCCTCTTAACATACTATATAAATTTGCTTATGTACTATGTTCATTGATAGTTGTCTGTCTCCCCTGACCAGAATGGAAGCTACATGCAAGTAAGGATTTTGTTTTGTTTACAGCTACATCTCCAGCACATAGAAATGTCACAACAAATCATAATGGATGTCGGAATGAATAAATGAATGAGTGAAAATTGCTCTGTGGCACAACCAAAGACCTCGCTGCCCATTTCTGTTGGCCACACGCGAGGAAAGAAAGAATCTCGTGTAGCCCAACCTAAGGACCCACCTTTGAGATCCAGGCTGCCCAGACGAGGGTGAGAGATGCCCTCTGTGTCAGTGATCTGGTTATAGGCAAAACTGGCAACCTGCAGGTAGGGCAGTTCATTCAGCTGGGCACTCCGCAGATGGTTGCCATCAGCCTTGAGCCAGAGCAGGTGTGTAAGGAAATTGAGCGGGGACAAATCTGTCAGGTGGTTCTCAGAAACATCCACATAGCGCAGATGGATGTAGGAACGCAACAAGTAGATATCTGTCAGATCCCTAGGAGATGGCAAAGGCCAGAGTTAGGGTTAAGAATCCAGCAAGGACTGACAGAGGTGCTAAAGCAGGGGGCAATAGGGAGATGGCCTATTAATGGAGAGAAGATTGAGTGACAGATGGGAGTGGTAAGGAAGCGGGACAGAAGGTAGGTGGGTTCTTAACAGTGAGCAGGGACCTTTTTTTGGTGGAGAGCCAAGAACCAACACTGTGAAGGACAAGTGAAGGAGTCCAGGAGGAATCCCCCGACACACCCTCGCAGCCTCCAATTCCCCAGGCCAGCTCTGATGGAGTCACAGGGCTCCAGAAAAGTAAATTCTACCCTTCCCTTCCACTGGCCAAGGTAAGAGAGATCCAAATTCCCAGCTGCGGCACCCAAGAAAGAGGATGAGAAAGGAAATTGGGCCCTACAACCTCAGGCCTCTTCTGGTCCCCCATAAAGGCACCTCTCTTTAACCTCCAGCTTGACATAAGCATGAGCCAGTCCATTGCCCGTCTTGCAGAGCAAAGAAAGCCCTTCCTTCATCATGTCCTCCGTGAGGGGGGTGGGCAACCACTGCAAGAAGAAGTGGAGTCAGGCATCCCTTTCCAGCCCAACTGGATCCCTTTGCCCTAGTACCCCTCTGCTCCCATGCTCGCACTTCCTCAGAGAGGTCTTCTCCCTCCTTCCTGTAGTCCTCCCACTCCTCTGTCTCCCTCTCATCCTCTTCCTTTTCCAGATCATCCTGGTCTGCATCGAAGTCTTCCAGATCATCTTCATCTGACATCTTTCTTCCTGGCTGAAGGCTCCGGAGTCAAATGAAGCTCAGTGCTCCTCCTGAGAAAGAACGTCTCCTCAGCTTTGACCAGCCCTCAGCTCCCTCGCCTCCATTGACAGGGTACCCCTTCCCATCACCCTTGACCTCTGACCTCCTCCCAACCGTGCTTCCTTCCTCATCCCTGTGAGCGTCTCATTTGGACTCCCAACCTCCGCTTCCGACTTCCCACCAAGGACCTGTCTCCTTTCAGGATGCCTTCCCAGGCTTTTTCTACCCTTCACAATGGCCCCAACTGTCTTCTAGTAGCTCTCCCTCCCTTCTCCCTGAATGTCCTCTACCCAGTTCTTCCCATCTCCCCCTTAAGCCACGTTCTCCTACCAGCCTCCTACACCCCTTCCTTCCGTTCCATCCCTAACACCTGATCCACTCATTTCTTTGAATTTTCCCACCCCGTCTAGCCCCATTTCCCTGTCCCCTCTGGGGCACCAGACTGACGCCGTCTCCAACCCTCCCACCCAATCCTTCGCTCGCAAAGGGGCGCAGACCCTGGTTCTGCTCGACTAAAGATGAGGTTCCGGAGAGGGTCTTGGCCCCGACCAGGAAGGACTGCTTTGAAAGAAGAGAAAGGCGCAAGGAGGCGTCGCGTACTGCTGTTATGGCAACCAGGGGGCGGAACACTTGGCTACTTCCGCGGGGCAACTGCTTAGAGGGCCGTGAGGGGACCACGACGAACTGAATGGAAAATCTGCCCGGGAGCAAGTGGACCAGTTGCCAGGTAAGGAGGGGCCAGCTTCCCCACCCGCAGAAGTGCGTTAATTGGCGCAGGGCAAAAGCAGTGGGTGGGGCTTGGAACAGAGCTGTGGGGAGGGGAGATGGGCGGGGCTACTCGTACGTCACTCAAGACGTTAAAGGGACCGCACATCCTCAAAGCAAAAGTACTGTGAATTGCAATGAAACATCCTCGGGAGCTAAAGGGGAAGGAGGAGCAAGAAATAAGTACGTGGTGGTCTGGTTTCTACCCCCACCCCAGCCTTGCACTTAGTTGGCCTTTGGAAGGTGGCTTGGTGGAGTGGAAGGAGCCCAGGCCCAATGTATCTTAAGGCCTGTGTTGAGGAGTCTTGGCAGATCTGCAGTTTACTAGCAATTTACCTAAGACTATTTTCTCATCTGTAAAATAGGCTTAGCTATACCAACTGACAGGGTTCGAGTATGAGTGTAATCTATGCTAACACACTGTAGATTGCTAAACCCAGTTTGGGAGCATTTCACTTTTCCTCATATCTTGGACTGGTTTGATGCAAACCTTTGGGGGCTAGTAAGGGAGAAAATCCAACAAGTGCCCACTGAACTACTCCTCATCGAATGCTGTTATATAAATAACAAGACCTGATACAAGCATACCCAGGTACTCAGGCCTGTGTGACTTGTTGAAGGAGATGAAAAAGAAGTTGAGATTCAAGAAATATTTCTGGAGAGATTGTGGGCTGTGTGAGATGCCTTCACAAGTGATAACTTAATCTTCACACCAGTCCTGTGAGATAGATATTTGAAAGAAGAGGAAACTAAGGCTCAAGGAGGTTACTATTTATGACACAATTCCTGCCAGGGGAAAAGGAGATAGTACCAATCTGTGGAATCTAATATAAATAAAAACAATTGGGCAACAAGGTAAGATATCATGTGATTGTTAAGTTGTGTGCTACAGACTTTATATAACATGCAAAGTGATCTGATGGAAGATGCAGTGGGCTGGAAATCAGGACATGTTACCTCCTACTCTGTCTAGCTTGGGTAATATAGTTAATAGACAAATCTGTTCACCTGATGTCACGGAAATAGCAGGGGCTTTAAAGTCAGAGACACCAGGTTCAAAACCCACTCTACCGTTTAATAACTGTGTGTTCCTTAGCATGTTATATAATTTTACTGAGGTTTAATTTTCACATTTGTGAAATGGAGATAAAAATGTCCACTTCCAAAAGGATTGTTAGAAGTTTAAAAGAGATGATGTGGGTAAATGGCCTTGCACTTAGTTGGCCCTCAGTAAGCAATTCTGTGCCCCCTCCCCACCTCTTGCCTGTTTCCTCAGTCCTGGGGTTGTCATGAGGAATAAGAAAGTAAATATGGAAACACTCGGGAAGGTTGGAAATGCTAGACAACTGAACGGTAGGGTCTTGTTGGAGTGGGGAAAGGAAAAGTCCATGTGGCTTGATGTAGCTGAAGGGAAAGGATATGATTTTCCTTGGCCCCGAAGAAAGAAGAAGACATATTAGGTGGAAAGAAAAGACGTGACAGAAGGATTAGGGAGGTATCGCTGAGCATATTTTTGTTAAGCACTTACTCTGTGCCAGGCTATAGGTACTAGGCCCTCATGGACAGTAAAACAGTCCCTGTCATCCGGAACCTTATAACCCACTGACAGGGTTAAGTAAATGAGTAATTCCATATAATGAGACAGATGTTATAATGATACCCGAGCTTTTACTAAGCACCAGTGGATAATTTTATTGTACAAGTGTATACGTAATATCATACACTCAGGGCAGTGATTCCAGACAGAGGAAGCACCTTTGGTAAGGCCTGGAGGAGAAAGAGCCCAGCCAATACCTGCGTAATGAAAGCTAGATACTCTGTGTCCTCTTTGATGACATCCTTCCCCCTAGAATGGTCTGAATAGAATCTTCTTGAGTTGTAAAAGTAATATTTAACTAACATTAAAATGCAAATAATACAGGTGTCCGAGTAGCTCAGTTGGGTAAGTGACCGACTCTTGATCTTGGCTCAGGTCATGATCTCATGGTCATACTGGGCAGAGAGTCTGCTTAAGATTCTCTCTCTCCCTCTCCCTCTGTCCTCCCCCACTCACACTCTCTCTCTCAATAAATAAATAAATAAACAAACAAACAAACAAAATGCAAATAATAGAGAAGCATATAGAGAGGAACATACAAGTCCATGATCTCCCTCAGCATGACTCTCCTTTATTAGAAAAGATATAGATTTTTATTTTTTGTTAAATTTTCTTAATGTTCATTTATTTTTGAGAGAGAGAGAGAAAGAGACAGAGTGCAAGCTAGGGAGGGGCAAAGAGAGAGGCACACACAGAATCCAAATCTGAGCTGTCAGCACAGAGCCCGACATGGGGCTCGAACCCACAGACTGTGAGATCGTGACCTGAGCTGAAGTCGGACGCTTAACTGACTGAGCTATCCAGGCACCCCAAAGATATAGACTTTTAAAAAACAAAAATGGTATCACTCATACATACTATTCATCAACTGAATTATTTTCATTTAATATGTCTTGGACATCTTTAATTATCACTAAACATACATCTACCTCTTTCTTTTTTATAGTTGTCTAGTCTCTTCCATTATATGGATATATGGTAATTTTTAACTGTTTCCTATTGATGGATTTTATTTTTATTATTTTTTTTAATGTTTATTTATTTTTGAGAGAGAGACACAGAATGCAAGTTGGGGAGGGTCAGAGAGAGAGGGAGACACAGCATCCGAAGCAGGCTCTGAGCTGTCAGCACAGAGCCCGATGCGGGGCTTGAACCCACAAACGGTGAGATCAGACCTGAACCAAAGTCTGACTCAACTGACTATCTGGCTCAACTGACTGAGCCACGCAGGTACCCCCCCTACTGATGGATTTTAACTTTAAAAAAATGTCAACATTGGGGTGCCTGGCTGGCTCAGTTGGCAGAACATGCAACTCTTGATCTTGGGGTCATGAGTTTGAGCCCCATGCTGGGTTTACTCTAAGTTTACTTTGAA